TTCTTTTCCCTATCCTGTGCCCAATTCCTGTCACGGAGCTGCATCTGGGCACTCATCGACCACCACCCCCAACTACGTCCAATCCCTTCATCCGTCACTCCCCACTGAACACTGAAAAGCGATATCTAGCGTTCGTTGGCAAGGTGCTAAGCAGTGTCGGTAAGCGCCGTCGTGAAACAGCGTTAGCATAGAAACTAGAGCATCTTTTGATTGCGTTCCAGCCGAGCCGAGTTTTAGTAACTGCCCCAGCATTCATAACAACAAAACCGTTTAGTATTCCTTTTGTAATAAAGGACTTACTGTTGTACTACTTGTAGAAACAACCCTGGAAACATCCTTTAGATTACTGGCCAACAGTTCATCGAGGATGTCCGCTACAGCTCCACCATCAGTCTCACCATTCCCACCACTTCCTCCTCCTTCAGCAGCGGTAGCATTTGATTCTTTTTTTCTGTACAGAGATTCTGTTAACGAATTTTGCGCTTGCAGCAGCGGTTCTGGAAAAGGTCAATGTTACACTGCAAAAGCGATCAAAAATCGAAGAGACCAACGAAATTCCTACTCTCTGAGGTGCCAAGAGACTCTGTTTCGTCTGAAGGTTCGATGCTGACGCCGCGATCAGTGCTCAGTGCCTCAAACATCAGTCGTTCCACGCCAATATCATATACAACCTCTTTATTGTTCAGCCAGTGGACCACAAACGACGCCTCACTCCCCAGAGATGGAACAAGAAGACAATCTGCAAACTCGCACTTTAATAAATCGGAAATTAAACACCAATTAGTAGCGCAACGCACTGGACGTAACAGCGCTGAAAGGGAAACAATGAGATACCTGATTGTGTCAAACAAAAGCTGAAAACCTGTAGTTTGCAATAAAAAGGAATGCTCCTGGCTGCGGAAAAACCGGCACGAAAGCGTGGCTTGGTAAACCTAATTAAGAAACCACCTAACCGTATCAAAAGATCGCTTGGCTGCGCTAAAAGACGTCGAAAAGTTGCTAACTGTGTAAAAATGAGCAGCCGTGGCCAGAATTAAAATGGAAGAAATGAAAAAAACGGACCATTCTGAGCGTTTATGGAAGTGGCAAGGTAAAATCCAGGGCTAAATGCACTGTGCTCTCCAGAAGCAATCTCGCACAGTGACGTATTCCGTGAGACAGAGGATCGAGCAAGTTGCGCAACTTCACAGGTCACTTTTTTTCTATCTCTGAAATCACAGGACGCCTTTTAGACATACAAAGATACCTGAGTAAAACTTTTTCTGTCTATAAAGTCTAATTCCCTAGAACAACTAACATTTTTCAACCACGAAAACAAGGAACCGAAATTTCTTATAAAATTTTGTCTTTACAACAAATTTTCGGCTAAAACTGCGATGAAAATAATAACTACAACCAACACAATTTTCTTAACAAGAGTTTTGATTCTGGTCCGAGTGCCGCGAAGTGAGCGCCTTTTCGCACGGCGCTCTCTCGACGAGTTGCTCTTTTCGATACTCGTTACCTCTGTTGTACTACTCACAATCTGGAAATCACCGGCGATGTTCGTTGCTTCCTTCCAGATTCGGACCGTATTATCCTCACACCACGTCAGCAGCGCATTCTGGACACACTGCCTGAAAAAATTGAAATATTCCCGAACAACCACAGCGTCTTACTCAAATTTCGCGCGAAATCTAAAGCACAAACCGTGACATACACCGTGGCACTTTTCGCCATTCGAAGCCGATCACGGACGATGGGTGCTGCACGTAGCTGAAGCCGAATGAAACACCATTACATGCAGCATCGCCCTCTATAAAATTCCACTCATTTACAGAATGGCATAGAGAGACCTGCTATCTCAGTGCAAAACAATCGCAAGCAAAAACGCTTAAATCGGGGCAACAGCAGGCGTAAAATCGTGCCAAAAAAAAAAACACCGAAGACGAATCGAGAAGTGATAAATTGCGCTGAAATCAGCTAAATTATTCTC